CAACTTTTTCAGTTTTTATCAAGTTAGACTTGACAATTTTGTTCTAAGTTTGTTCATCAATAATTTTAATATTGCTACCAGTGTCCAATTGAAATCTAAATGTAGCATTATTTATTGGTACTGTCACAAATTTTCTATTATTTGAACTTTCCAGTTTTTTAGCTGGTAGAACTACTTTCAGCCAGTTAATTTGCATATTTCTTTTGCTTTTTGACTTGCAATAACTTTGTGACCTAGTTTTCCACACTTAATTTTTTGCTTTAAATGAACAGTCCTTTCCGAGATGAAGCATACCACAGCATGGCTTAAGTTTTGCAGTATTTTTATTCTGGATTTTTTCTTTTGGTACTACTGTCCTTTTCCAAAGCATTTGTACTTCTGTCATGCCATTTTGCTCAATTTTCACTGTATCATGCCTTAAATTGACAATTTTTGGTGACCTTCCACAACAGTTTGTATTGTTAACTTTAACTCCTGTTCAAGTTTGGTAAGTATTTTAGAGCATATTTCCGCATCAATGCTTGATGTCAGACCTTTAACAAAAATTAGATATTTAAATCTGTCTGAGGATAATTCATCCAGTTTAAATTTCTCACACTCACAGTTGACTATACCAGCACATGTGTCAAAATCTTCATTTTCAGCCTTAATAAGGTTCATGCACTTCCAACATGTATAAAACAGTTAATTCTTTTCACAAAAGGTTTTTGATAATATTGACACTATCTCATTAAATGACATGTTCTCTGGAGTATTTGGCAAAATGAAATTCAGATATTTTTCATGTTCAGTGAGGCACAATTTTCATAACACTACCTTCTTTTCATCCAACCATCCTTGACATTCTTCTCTGAAAATGGCCTTGTATCTTCTGAAGTATGATAGGAATATTTTCTTCTGGGATGTAATTAAATTCACTAATTGAGTTAGCAATTGAGTCCAACAAAAATGAAATTGACACATTTCTTGTTCTTTACTTTTCCAGGATTGCTTTTATCTGTTCTTGATATTCAATCCACTCTCATTGCATTTGTTGTAATAGTTTCTGAATAACTATCTTCAATTCTTCCATAGTGCATTATGTTCATACAAGTAGTCCTTAACTAGGAAGAGAAATTTTTTTTTTTTTTTTCCTAATAGCAGTATATCATACAGCCTTGAAGTTTATTGATTTCCATGTTGCACTATGAATAACTCCCAAACTTTTTTTTGGGAATTTTTAATTTCAACAGCTATTTATGTTTAGTGAGAGGAAACAAAAGAATTTTTTCCATGTAAATTTGAATTCTCATCACCACTGTTATATCCTCATTGCATTGAATGAAGATAACACAATCAAGAAGTAATATATCACTTGGAGTCAACATAATCTTGCTGAAATAGGTAGTAAGCAGATAAGCTAAATCACTTACTCTCTACTTGTTTACTCCATCTATTGATGATTCTTGGTGTCAGTCTATATGTATTTGGATGAGTCCAAGTCCTATTCTAGAGAGGTGTGTTCATCTCCACAACAAGCATTCATATTCCACTGTCTATAACTTATTTTGTTCTTATTTAGTACAGCTCAATTAGTGCTTGCTCTGTTTTCACTGAGTTTAAATCTGTTACCAAATTCATAAACCAATGCTTTAATCCACAGGACAATACTTTAATCAACAGTATTATTTATAACCATACTATAAATAGAGCAAATATCTATAGGATAAAGAATATTGAACTGCAAAGAAATGATTTTGTGACATATATACTGTCCAAAATAAGGGTCATGTTTCTCCAGCTAGTCTACACAAATCATTACTTTATAATGAGTTTGATCCCCACTGATTGCTCTTGGGTCTTGTGCCAGACTAAACTAAGCTTAATAAATACCTATACAGCCCAAAATACAAAAGTCATTTCAAGTATTGATTGAACAACTAATCTCATAATTTTTTAATTTTATCACAAGCTGAAGAATAGATCAACTAAAATAATGTATTAATAACAAATACCAAACAAAAAATCACAACAATCTAAAACACCTCTTGGAATGATAATACCTCATGTCAAATATAAAGAATGTTGTGACATTGTATAAGTATTATACAGACTCTCAAAAATATTGCTTCAACATTATTATTTCTGGTGTTTATATAATGTTTCCAAATTAGCAGTTTTCATTGATATTCTAGTTTATACAACTTTTCAGAATCAAACCAACAGACAACTTTTAATTCTATCTTCAGTCAGATTTTAACAGTTTTCCAAATCAACAACATATATGCAGTTTTTAAGAACACTGACACCAAGTTATATTGTCAATTGACTGAATTAAAACTTCAGATACCAGTTTTATTTAACAACATATCAACACTTGTTGGGTTATTTAATATCTTACTTATTATAAAACGCAGATTGTGTGTGTCTACGTTTATATATTGGATTGGATTTCCTACGTTTTTTTAATTGATTTCAACAAAACTTCATAGGACTACGTAAAATTACCTTGCGGTGGTTCTGATAGCGCTAAAAATTGGAAAAACAATTGTTTTTGCATGAAATCAATTTGAAAACACGATTAAGTCGCCAGAATGAAAGGGGACAACTCATATACTTATTATAAAACCCAGATTGTTTGTGTGTGTGTATGTGTGTTCCTTTATATATGGGATCGGATTTCCTACATTTTTCAACAGATTTCAACAAAACTTCACTTTTTTTTGGTAGGTAGTGTTTCTTATTGTCTTGCACATTTTTTCTTTATTTTTACATTCAGAATGCTTTAAAAATTCCATTTACAAGACAATTCTTTATAATAATATTCTATTCAATTGATAGACTCATAACGATTGAAAACAATGTTTTTGTTTTGAGTTTGACCAATTCGTTAAAAAAAAAATAAAAAAAAACAAAAAAAAAACTATTTAAGACATGCGTGTCCGTCAACCATAAACAATAATCTTTGTCAATTTTATTTTTCAGTCTTTATGATGGTCGATACTTGATCTATCTCTTACTGTTACAACCCCGGGCAACGACGGGCTCTACTGCTAGTCAAATATATGTCTGACAAAAATCAAAAAGAATAGATAGTTTTGATTTTCACTAGAATCAAAAGATATGCATTGGTCCAGTTTTCCCTCTAGTCAAAAGGTACACATAAGTCCAGTACCATCTGGAAAATGGTCACCTGGAAATAGAGCTCTTTGGTGATATGTTTATCCATTGCAGGGTAAGTTGTTGGTGCATTCTAAACTTTGCCAACAGGCCGACTTGACAACGTGACAATTGCAAGATATGAAATAGCATAACTACAGAATATGTATTTCATGGATCCAAATGAAGAGTTGGCACTGATATTTTGTTGAAAGGTGGATATTGAAGAGAAGAATTGTCTGCTAATGAAACATGGAGAGAAAGTTTTTCCAATTGTTTATAAAAGAAAATATTTGTTTATTTTAATTCTTTCATTATATTCCAACATTGAAAGAGCAATGTTTACATTTTGGGCTATGTTTGATACAAGAACAAAATTGATTTACAAAAGCACAAGGAGGTGGGTAATGGTTTAAAAACACAAAAGTAAAAACAGTTCGCTTATTGTTTGAAAGTTATTTTATCATTAGAATTATATACAAACATACCATTTTTAAATAATTCAACTTACTGCTTGATTTGCAAGCAGTAATTAGCATTAACCATGAAAATTTCATTTTCTCTATTTGAATTTTTTGAAGAATAATAATTTTTAATTTAATGCTCCTTGCAAGATCCACAAATATAAAATAAATTTCAAAATTCCACTGTGGCACTATTAAAGATTTCAGTTTAACAACTTTAATCAATTATTGCATAAATAATTCTAAGTATGAATTGCAGGCCATTATTTAAAGAAATAAAAAAGATTCAAAATTGTCTGTTTTCCATTTCACTAAAGCAGACATAAAATGCATAAAAGCATTATTACCTCCTTCCTATATCTTCCCTTTCTTTCTTTTACTAAAATCCAAACAGTGTTTCTGAGATATCTTTTTCTACAGTCTCTCCTTGCAATCAAAATAGAATGTTTCATTATCTTGGGTAATAGCAAAGCATAATGCACCTACTAAACGACACTGAGGAACAAGCAGAATTATAATATGATTTTTCTATAAGCTTTATCAGTATTTATACAACATCTATCTATAAATAAAGCACAGTGTAAGTGTGTCCATCTGCTTTTTAATCTCAGCAAATCATAGACAACCTGAAGTAACTACTGTAGTTATACACAATTAAAAATTAAATAACTCCTTTAAAGTTAAATTTAAATATCAAACAGAGTGAAATGTTTCGAAAAGAAAAATTCTTTATTAAAGGTTTAATTTTAATTTTGCTTTTCATCACAATTATCATCTAATTAAATCGTAATTAAAATTTAAACAGAGCACGGTATATTGCTCATGTTTTTTTTTCTAGCACATGTACTACGACGTATTCAAAATATTACATAGTTTGGGTTCCCTAATGTCTTTTAAGAGTGACTTCTTTATGTGAAGGGATCATAAAGAATGGTGATTTTGAAAGAAAGTAAAAATCGCAAGCAAAATAAATTTAAACACGCTACAGAGATCGGGTGCATATATGAAGAAAGATTATGCCGAATTAAGGTGTTCAATAAAGATAAAATAATTGTATTAATTCCAAATTCTTATACCTTTTACATACATAGGACACTGAAAGTAAAAGGTCAAAGGACAAAGAGCAGCTTCTAGGCTAGTTGTATATAAAATGGAAAGATACACAGTTGGTCTCTTCGTTAACAGAACAGAAAATTCCAATTGGGATAGTTTGTGGTCTCTTCACACTAATAAAATATCCAGACTTTGTCAAAGAATTTTTAAAAGAATTGTGAAAAATGAGAGTGACAATTGTGTCCATCATTATTGAAGTGTTTAGAAGAATCGTCTGCAAAATGATTGGAAAAATTGAATAGATGAAAAGGAATTGAAATCATCCAAATGACAGCATTACTAAAATCAGCTATGTCGTATGTCCAGAAGTCGCTTTCTGTCTGCAATCCGTCTAGTCTCGCCGAAGCCTAGAAAAGCAGTGGCCTCCACGTCCACTCGCCGGTTTTTAATCGGTAGCGTGGTTCTCTTATGCAAATAAGTCTGCTGCATAAAAATGGCAGTAGGCGCCGCGCGACCGACTCTCAGAGAATGGTTCGACCACGAGGCAACGAATTCGCTTTGCTCCTGGTAAGTCACTGTCACTCCTATTACACTCCCCCTGATCGTATGATCACATAAGTGACAGTGAGGGGGCTGGTCGTTTCACCCTTGCACTTCTTCGCGGTGGTATAATCATGACTTCCTCCCGGCTGAATCGTCAGATGTGTCCTGGTCTGAATCATATTCGGGGGGATCATTAAGGTTCAGGTCTACTTCTTTCTCGCTTTCAGATGAGGTGTCGCTGCTGCTTGCACTGGAGCTTGGTTCTTGCCATTCATTACTCCCTGACGTTGTGCCACCGCCATCATCCGTTGGTAACAATGAAGTGAGCCGTGGACGTACATCTCCCACGTGTCGCGGTATCCCGTCGATGACTACAGACTGCGGACTGTTTATTCCCGTGACACGACCTTTCACAAACTTTGACGTGCAGCGTCCGTGCGGATTTTTTACCCAATCTGCGTCTCCTTCTTTATACCGAGTAGAAGTCGTCCGGTTAGGCGAGGGCACAATGTCAATTCCTTTTATTGTACGGCACCAACCAACCATTGTCCATCCATGTTTGTAATTCATGCTCGTACTCATCTCAGTGGATACTGGATACTCAGAGATCTGATTCTGAAGTTTCCCTGGTGCATGACCTGCCGACCACTTCCAGGCTGCGACCCAAACTCCCTGCCGTTCATTGAATTTCGCACTGAAATCGGCCCGCTGATACTGGTCGCTGCACAGACGGACCGTGGTTTTCAAACTCCACGCTTCCATGCTGCGTGATGCGAACTCCACCGAGTGCCTTAATGGCGTCGATGCCAAGCAACAGGTCGAAATCCAGGGGCTTCCTCGCATAACCAGCACATCGATTGTAGCAGTATTACCAGTTGCTGTGCAAATTCTGACGGTGCCCTTCCACAGCAAGCCTGCGTGGCTCCGGTTAAGGTAGATACCGCCATACCCTGCTTCGACCAAGACCGACATAAACTTCGCGCTCAAGATTGACCATGAGCACCCTGAGTCAAGGAGAGCGAGCATGGTGTGCCGTCAACACACACAGTAATGATGGGTAGCACCGAGTTTACTTGCTGTTTGGGGAGTGGACCGGCGCTGAAGTCTCGTCCCCGCCTCCGTTTCCCGGACAATTTTGGCCAGATGACCGGTCTTGTTGCATCGATAGCAACGTCGTTAGTTGCCCTTCGCCTCTTCATGCAGTCCCTCATGGAAGTGATTGGGCCCATTACATTCATAGCATGTGACAAGTGGGCCCATGTCTGGGGAAGAACGGGGAATCTGGGAGGGCTGCACCGCTTGGCGGCGACTGGTTCCCTCTCTGCTGTCTCGTCCTTTATGATTGCCCGAGCTTGGGCCAATAGCTCCTCGAGACATATCATCCGCCCTGGCCGAGGACCAGGGAGCCTTTTCACAGGATCAGGAAGCCCCCATGCGAACACGCATGCCATCGCACTGTCTGGCACTCCTCCAAAAAGGACGGAGAGCTTCCGTGATCAGCCAAATATACATCTACGGTCTCACCGGACGTAATATCACGTGCCTCGAATTGTTAAGTATGCCGTGAATTTATCAGGGGCAAATGCTGTCATCAATGCTCCCTTGATTCGAGCCACGTCCGATTTCTCTTCCGTGAATAGTTGCTGGTAAACGCGAATGCTCCCCTGGTTAAGCGAAGGGGATGACACGATCAAGCGCTTCACTCCCGATAGGTCGCACACCAATTCCAATTTCTCGAGCCATTCAACCACAGATCCAGTCCCGTCAAACTGGAATTATCTTTAAATCAAACCGGCCGTCCATGTTCGCCGAAATAGCTTGTCGTATGTCCAGAAGTCGCTTTCTGTCTGCAATCCGTCTAGTCTCGCCGAAGCCTAGAAAAGCAGTGGCCTCCCACGTCCACTCGCCGGGTTTTAATCGGTAGCGTGGTTCTCTTATGCAAATAAGTCTGCTGCATAAAAATGGCAGTAAGGATCGCCGCCGCGACCGACTCTCAGAGAATGGTTAACACGCGAGGCAACGAATTCGCTTTGCTCCTGGTAAGTCACTGTCACTCCTATTACAAGCTAGAATACTGAAATAGAGGAGCATGGCTGCCATTTGATCTCCAAAGATTGACTAATTGATTTGGTTTTTATGGCCTATCGATCATTTGTGTGTTATTTAAAGCCAAAACATATCGTAGGAGATTGCATAAAGTACCCAGTGTTCCCTAATGATCACCAATCTAAGTGCTGACCAAGCTCAACACTGTTTTATTGGGGATCAAACAAGGGTCAATGTTTCAGAATGATTTCACTGAAAGTGATCTCCAGTGAAAGCCTGTAGTGAAAGAGATAATTATCTACTTCATAAAAGAGTTTGTGTTTTGTGTGCGATCTGCTGAAGAAAAATTATCAAAAAGTATTTATTTTAAGGACCAGAATCTATGCTAATGTTCTTCCCTCCCCTGAATGGTGTGATCAATCAGAAAAATCTCTCAGTGGATAAAAGCCATTGTTTTTCACTTATGTGAACAAATTTGAATTTCTGAGCTTGGTTGACGAACACACATTTTTGCTGATGAGAAGTGAAGGTTGGATTTGTGACACCATTTTGTCGTTTCTACATTCCCTGTTGGACTGTTACGACAGACTATCGTTTGAACTGTGATTTGTCTACAAGTGTTGTGGTCGAGAGACAGAAGAAATCTATTGTAGATGTTTATTGCTACTATAAGTTAACAGTTTTTCTTTTCTTTACAACTACAAAGCCACAAAATGGCTAAATAAAAAATATAAATTTGATAACAAGAAAACCTCCAGCTTATATGGCCTGAGGTTTGTTTTTCATACATACCAACAAATGTTATCTTAAATATTTACCATTTCAAACATAAACAAAATGAACCATCATTATTTATATATATTTCCTTTTCATCTAACATATTTTTGTTCAGCTTCTTGGGTTAAAGTAGGGATCTTGTCCTGTCACCACTTGATATTGGATGATATGGGTAAAGAAGACTTGATGTGAATGGGTTACACCCTAACCTATAAATTAACTATTCAGTTAACAAGTAGTGACTACCATTTATCTTGTATAATCTGGCCTAAGATGTTCTTCTATCTTGCAAGACTGGTGAGTACTAGCTTCAGTGGATACTACCCTTTTGTAGTTCTGCCCAATATAAGAGTAATGTAGTAAAAATTTAGAGCATCTGCTGGAAAAGCAACAGTTAGCAATCCAGTTTGATTAATCATTGTTTGTGGGATTTAGTATTCCAGTCTTGCAGTCTTTTGCCAGACTAAGCTAACAGTGTAATCAATTCTATTTCTGTTACTTACCTGTTGTAAAAGATAGGATAAGAACCAAGTTGAACTTTTGTAAACTTAGCATCAACCTTGTTTAGGATGTTGGTGATTGATACTTCATCAGAGTTCACATACAATTCAGAAGTATGCATCTGAGCATGTGGGTTCAGGAAAAGTTTCTGGAAAATAAGAAAACATTATAAATCAATGTTCAGTTAAATCATATTGCAAAAATATCTTGCTATATTTAATAAAATTAGGCTGATGCAATAGCTTCCAGCTTTTGTGACAAAATATTTTATTCATATAAAATCATGCTCATTATTCAGTCATCAAAGTATTTCTCCAACATTTGATAACTTTAGGTCTTCTTTCAGCTAAATTTTGTATTCTGCCCCAAAAGAATAATTTCAGCTTTAACTCAGTGTTATATTAAGTATATAATGGCAGAACAAAGAAGAAACAATGGATGTTTAAGAAATAAACAATTGTATTACAAAAAAATACAACAAATGGTAAGTTGGCGTAAATATCTCTTGTTGAAAGAAAGAGATAAGTAGAATCGTAAAGTCATCTGCAGAAGTGTACAGTAGGAAATGAAGGATGAGTTGTGACTTACTGCAGTGACGGCCTTTGGTGAGTTGTCTTTGGATGTGGGAGGCCGCTTTCTGACGAGTATTGTGAATTCTGGCTGTTGTGCCAACCAACTGCCAAAGATGTCCCTTTGATGGGCTTTTATGCCCTTTTATGCCCTTTTCTTAGATCAGCTCTAATTTTTATTTTGTTCTTTAGGTGGGAATGGGTACTATTGGGTGGAAATTCTGGAAATTTAAGTGTGTTAGCAAAACGGAAACTATGTATGGAGCTGATGCGCAGTTGACAGAATTTTTAGTTCAGTCTTGGGTTTCAGAGTGTTCACATCCAACCAGTGGTGGAAATTTGTGTTGAAGAAGATCTGGTTTTAGGAAGATTATAACATCAGTAAATTTCTTTGTAGAATTTTTCAATAACTTCAAATTATTGGAAGCATTGGCCAAACAAGAAGTACTGAATAGAGGGGGGGACTTTTATAGATAATGTGACACATATAGAAAAACATCCCATAGTAGATTCATAATCATTTATTGTGCAACATTTGCAACTTGACAATGGGCATTGTCATACACCTAAATTATCAGCTGACTTACTTGTTCAAAAAACATATATATTTTCTCTTCAAATGGGCTATTTGTTCACTGTAGCATTTTGCAATAGCAATTTTTCCTGATTCCAAAAATTTGTAACAAACCTCACTAAACATTTTCCTCACTAGTAGATACTATTTATGTAAAATGCAGTCTTGGATCCAGTTACAATTTGTTCCATTTAGATTTATATCTCAAATGAATTTTTATTGTCAGTGACCATTTTTTCTGTGTCAAGAGAAAGACAAGTGTTTAAATGGAGACTAATATACCTAATATATCTGCCTTTGGGTGAAGATGAATTCTACAGGCAGAGTTACGTTTGGGGAAATAGCCAGCCATCCAACCCCATGTATGCAGGGTCTACAGAAAATTTTTGCCAAGCATACTGGCTCAGAAAACCCCACGTTAAAAACCGGCCTTGTGCCATATCCCACCTTTTGTGGAGATCTTGGGTAAATACCGAAGCTACCACATACCTAGAGAACCCTTGTTAGTCTGAACCATGGGTTATTAAACAATTACACAAACAATAAAGAGTTGAAAAAGTTTCAAAAGACACTTTTCAGATTTCCCTATTATTTTGTAAAAGATGATTGAGAACATGTGCATCAGCTAAAAAATAAAATTTTTATCTTAGAAAAATGCAAGTCTAACCTAAGACAATGGCTACTCCAGGAAAGCATTTTATATATTTTTCATGATTTTAAACAGCTCCTTCCAAGATAAAAACTTAAATACTTCAGCTAAAGAAGCACGGACAACATGAGCCATTTTCATCTAAAGTGGACAAACCACTTTTGTTTGTCTGTACTTGATATATTCAACAAGCTTCCTTAAGATTATGCTACATTCAATAGTCATTAGAAGGCATTTAGTACTGTAAATAGTCATTTATAAAAAAATTTGGTACTGGCTCTGTGAATTCATTAATACTTACCTCAGTGTAATTTTTTAAGAAAGCGATGGATTTTTTTATCTATTAATCCAATAGATTTTATTACTTAAACTTTATTTTTAGTGGATACTCATATTTGGGTAGACACTGTTTATTTATTAAACAGTATATTTATTTATTTTCATCTACCAACCTGAATATTTAACAAATCTTATTAGACAAAAATATGTGTTCTCTAATAAGATTTCTTGAATATTCAAGCTAGTAGACAAAAGATAAATAAATATACTGTTTAATAAATAAACAAAGCATCTACTCAAATACAAGTATCCACCAAAATTAATATTTAAGTAATATTACCTCAATATACGGATCAGTTATAACAAATTTAGTATAAGAAATAAAAAAAAATGAACATAGAATAGGTTGCATGAGAGGTTATTTCAAGTTGCTACAAAACCAAGGAATTAACCTAAAAATTTCAGTCATGTTCTTCAATAGTCTCATCAAATCAAAACTTTCATATGGATGTCATGCATCATGTCAGCTGTATATAACCACTTTCTCAGATTGATATACTAAAGATGGCTTCAAGCAAATGAAGCCTGTAGGTCTTAGCAAGGACCATCCTTCTTCAAATTTTGTGGACTGGTGCTACAGAATCCCAAGCAAAGACCTGTGCCAAATAACAGAAACCACTTCACTTGAGGACTTTTAACAACAACAACTACTAAATATCACATGTAACTCAAAGAGAAAATAATGGCATAATCAAAATGTTGACATTCCACACTATTTCAAACAAAAGGTTAGGAAGGAAACCCCCCATCAATACTGAAAAGAGCAATAGCAGTTACTGGATATGAGAAACATATTTTCATGAAAAATTGTTTTTTAAGAAAAGGATTTTGTAAATTTTAACTGACAGTGGCAATGGCTGCAAAATATTTCCTTATAAGGAAAACAGCTAATATTACCATTACCAGGTGTCATTAAAAGACCAATTCTTTGAGAAGTATAGACAGTTTTCTTGATTGATTGATTTGATTTTTACAGCCTATCAACCTTTTGAAGGTTATTTAAAGCCAGAAAGTATTTTTAGATTGTAAGAATATTTTTGGAGATAATAATGATTTACTGATAAAAGTCCTACTAATTAGCCCATAGCTGGAGGGAGAAGAGGCAGATTCATACCATTCCCAAGGGTATTTTTGCATAAGTAAATACAATGGACCCAACCAGAATTGGAACCTAGCTCTCCAAATTCCAAATCACTATCCCAACCCACACATCTAAGTTTACAGCATCTGGTATTCCCAAGCAGTCACTCATTTAGGTACTGACAATGTTCAATTTTGCTTCTTAACTTCACTGATCATACAAGAACCAGTGTTTCAATGTGATATGGCCAGAAGCCAGCAGTTTTCTTGAGAATCATGGTTCATGTTAACTCAAGATTTTGATATGCAGTTCTAGAAAGAGCATAATCTTTCTAGAGTTTTCTTGTTGAAAAGACAAAAAAAGAAGACAAAAATCTTAAGCAAATTCTAAAGCCTACCAAATGCAACATACACTTGATGATAGCTGTGAATATATTTGATTAAAATAGAGTATTAAAAACAATAAAAACTTATGAAAATTTCATCTTGGAACCGTTGATTTAATCTGATATAACTTCACCCGGCAAATAGGTTTTTATATCCCCCAGTGGAAAAACCATAAGTTTATATAGAACTCAATGGACACAATTCATTTCAACTGCAGGTGGAACAGGTCAACTTATTAAAGCACAAATATACATTAGCTGGGTAGGAAATGTACATTTGAGCTACTTAACAGGAACTCCATAAAAGAAATACAAATCAAACCATTGTAAATGACCCATAAGAAAAAGGATATAGGGGTGTTTTGAAAGCACCCAAACTACTACTCCTACACAACACAGCTTAGAATACAAACACAAGAAACTATACTAACAACCAACCCCTTAAAATAGCTAATGAAATGACTGAAAGCTCTTAGGATAATAATCACTATGGACAGTTTCTACACTCTCTTAGCCCTCATAAAAGAAACCCTTTAAGAACACTGGAAAAACTGAATAAAAAAAAGACTTGTAAAATTTCCCTTTTCTATCACATTCAATGAAACATGTTTAAAAATGATTTAATAAAGAAATTATTGACAACTCAACAGACCAAGTGAAATAACCTTTGCAACTCTTATTAATAGACTAATTCTTTAAGTAACAGGTTGAGTATATTTATTTTCCTTAACATTAGAGACTCACCTGATGGCACAAGAAGGCCTTTTCCAAGAGGAATGGAATGCCAGGAAACATGTAGACATTCTTTATGCACACTAGAGGATAAAAGTTCTTCTGCCTACTCACTGGACTGACCCCAAATTCCAAACGCGCAGATGCAGGAATCTGCAATTAAGTGAAATCATTTAATTTCAAAGATGAGAATATTTTCAGATGACATCAGAGTTTTAAAGATATAAATTAGGTCTTGAAATTTAGATTTTATAACCAGAGTTGCCAACAACATTGAAGTGAGTGAGTTATATTAGTATGACAATACAAACAGAAAAATAGGGAGGCAAATGAGGACAGAAAGATTGTACAAGCAAAACCTATTCAAAACATTTATTGCATTTTCTCTTAAAATTTGCATACAATCATATCATTGCGACACCAACTGCTAGAACAGAATACACACATATAGACATACATATTTCTTATTATAGATATAATTTTTAGTGGGTACACATATTTTAGTTGCTATCCCTTTGTTTTAGGATTTTATTTTAAAAAGTGTAATTAATAACAACCAACCTAGGAATCAAGCCTGCCCCCCACCCTTTTTTCATCGGGGAAACTGTTTCTATGGTTGAAATATGCTATTAGCAACTCAAATACATGTATACACTAAAAATAATGTGTATAGTAATAAGAAATAATGTCGGATCAATATATATATATATATATATATATATATATATATATATATATATATATATATATACACACACACACATTTCCCACTAACACTTTTGCATTAATGGCCACAACACAAATATATACTAACAACCATGTTCATATTAAAGCTTCTTTTATAAAAATTCTCTATGATCAGCAAATGTTCAACCGATTGTTATTTTCTTACATCATCTACATCTCAACAATCACAAATTTTCAACAACAGTCTTTTTCTTTAAAATCATTTATAACTCCAAGCAAGGTGATAATGTCACTAAGACCCAAAGGGTTACTGAGAGTAAAAGGGAATGAAAAGACTTTATTGAAGAGAAATGAGAAGAAAAGGATTCAGGAAGACAAAAATGGTGAGTTATATTGCATTTCATTTTTTGAAGATTGTAGGTGACAGGGAAGCAAGAAACTGGAAGAGAGTTCCACAAGCAAGAAGTGTGAGAAAAGAAACTATTAGAATAGAACTTATGGTTAAATCTAACTATTTCAATAGTAAAATGATGAAACCTAGTTACCAATCTAGTAGTGCACATAAATTCATGTGGTCAAGGTACCAAAGTGGAAAGCATATTAGAAGAACTGCCATGAAAATGTTTATAAAAATGAGAGAGGGAAGCCACATTACAACAGTGAGAAAGTGACTGAACTTAATTCAAGACTGAATGCATTACAGAACCTTCTTTGGATTTTGTCAAGACTCTCAAGATATATAGGAGGAGCACCAGACTAAATATGGCAGCAATATTCAATGCATGGACAAATGGTAGATTTATAGATGTATAAGATGGATCCTGAAAAGAAAAATTGTTTGACACAACACAATGAATCAACTTTCCTGGCAGCAGAGCTAGCAAGTAATTCAATATAATCACTCCACTTCCTGTCAGTGGAAAACGTGAGACCAAGGAGCTGCAATGAGTTGTTCTCCTGGAGGTTGTCATCAGCCATGCTGATGTGAGACAAAAAAGGTTCTCTATGGTGATTAAAAGATAGCAGTTTCATTTTTGAAGGCGTTAAAATTTACACGCCATTCTTTTCCCTAGTTAACAACTGATTGGATGTCATTTTCGAGAGAAGCTGCCAGTTTTACTTTGTTGGATTTATCTGACTTACTATTAAGACAGGAGTAAATAGTTGTATCATCAGCATAAATGCCTAATCAGGAACTGATGACATCAGAAAGATAAACAAGTCCAAAGATAGAAGTCTGGGGGGGATGCTGCATTAATGTGAAATGATGTAGAAGTATGGCTGTTCAAGATGTCCTTCATTACACAATTTGTTAAAAAGGATTGTATTAAGCATGTGCTGCTTATTATGAAAATAGTCATTTTGTCTGAATATTTATCCTCTATGTTTCCTGCAAGTTGAAGTATTTATAAAATAATATATTTATTGTACTGATATTCAACTACAGATTCCTGGGAGCAAAATTATTTGTATCCTTTTGACTGTCAGCTTTTCTAATGGATTCCTCAGTGCCAGACATTTCTTTTCCTCTCTGTTAGTTGACAACACAAGTTTAAAATGAAATATAAACCCAGACTTTCAGTTCAGTTATTTGTCACAAACACTAAATTCTCAAAGAACAATCATTGAGTATATTCTGAGATTGATCAAAATAAAATTTTGAAATTCTTGATGTTTTTAATAAAAATTTTTTAACATTCTTCAGCCAGTCAAGTGTATAAATTCATAAAAGGAAATATGTCACTTCTGAAGAAATAACATTTTTATGTTTTTCTTATACACATGATGTTATGATGAAGACCAAAGAATGGTTTTATCCAAAATGTTAATATCAAAGAATTCAATTATCTTAACCAAATTTGGAATGTTTTTAACTTGTTTAAAAAGTTATAGACAATAAAATTACCAATTTTGATCCACACATAAATTTTTTACCATTTTTTTTAAACATAATTTTCATTTATATCTTACTTTTAAATAATAAAGAAGTTCCTATCCAAATCTTTGGGAATTTTGAATAGACTGATCAACCTGTTAAGATATATAATCTTTCTGTGTGTCAGTTGTGATAGAAAAAATATGATGAAAATGAAAACTGTATTTTGTATGAAAAAGAGAAGATATGCACAATGGCTGGATGTAGAGAAGAAGCAAAATCATCAACTGATATTAACCTTGAAGCTTATGGTGAGTACTTAAAAGAACAAAATCAGTTTAATGCATCATTACTTCCTTCAAAGTTGTCAGACATAAATATGTCAACCAACATAGAGCATTCAAAAGTCCAGTTTGGTGAATAGAAAGGGGGTGTTATTTTGTGTCCTGATAATAAAACCTACCCTCTATACTGCTTCCTTACAAACAAAAATCTCTTCAATCAAAATGAAGTCTTCAATGAAGTTATCAGTTATTTGAATGAAAAAAAAAAAGAATGTTTTAACTGTCAAGATAACTTTTATGAATGTTTTCATTTATTATTTTTTAAATAAATAAGCAATTTCATGTTGAAAAAACTTGATATAAGCACATACTAAAGTTAAGTCTGGTACAAGGCCATAGGTGTGGAGGAAATATGTGTATAAAGCTGGCTATTCCCCTCACACACAATCAAAGTAGGGGAAAATCAAAGACAAAATTAAAAAAGAATAAAGAGAAAGAAAAGACTATATTAGATAAGTTGTTTATGTCAAGATACTGAAGTTTAACTGACTAGAAGTATTAATTTAGGGTTAGAATCTCCCACCTACTCTTAATTTAAAGGATATGATTTTGTTAGGAGGGAACCTCTCTATATACAGTGTGCAATTGTTTTTCATTTTATATTTTAATTTCACACATATGCATTGTTTGTCTTTTGTTGACTGCACAGTATAGTAGGGTCAATTGGGCACCATATATGAGAAAAAGAGCACCATGATGCAATTCACTCCACCAGAAATTTTAAAACAGTATCCTATAATGTTTGGCATATGCACCAGAAGCTCCAATATAAATATTTCAGAGTTTTGGGGTGTTGATCCGAGGACAATGCAGAGGATTGAAAAAAAAAAAAAAAAGTTGGATGAATCTAATGACAATTATGAAGGTGTTTGGAGTGATCACTACTGATGGTGACATTATGCCTCCATTCATCTTCCCACATGACCTCAGACACAACACAGAGGTCTACATCTAGTGCCTTGAGGAGGTAGTGCTGCCCTAGGTCAAGAGTGTAGCTGCTGGAAGACCCTATGTCTGGTAACAGGACTCTATAACTCCCCAGACTGCAACCCTCTTGATTATTATGTGTGGGGCACATTTGAGTAAGAGACCAACAAAATTCCTTGTAGCACCAAAGATGAACTGAAGGCAAGGATTATGGCAGCATTCACCAACTTAAACAAAGAGACCATCCAGAAGAGTCGCAGGAGATTCCAAAGTCATCTGAAGGCCAGGGTTGCAGCCAATGGCAAGTTTATTGAATAAATTTACTCTTTAGTATTTCGATATTTTTGCCTAACTTTAGTAAATATATCTATTAAAATGAGATGTTGGTGTTATTTTCATTCTTACATAATTTCAACAACAATTTATCAGTCACACCCTGTATTGTTAAATGATTAATTAGCTGTTAACAGTAGGAGTATATCCAAACATCTATCAAGGGTGACAAATATAGGTATTTCAGCAAGACTGTTTTGGAAGAGAGGAAATATGACACGGAAAGAAATACAAAGGAGGGAAAAATCAAAATATGTTGGGTGAAGAGAATTAAAATGAATCAAGGAGAAGAATCAAAGTTGGGCCAGTTATATACACCCTTTGGTGGAGGGTCAAACTCACAACAGTAATAATGGTCTTTAAGATAAGTTTGCTAACTACTGCTCCAAAGCAAGGCACTTGAGCCACCTGATATAAGAAAACACTTACCAAAGCCATTTTGAATACTGGGGAAGACAGGTCTTCAGTCTTGAAAAATTTTTTACAAATATCTACAATCACTGGATTTAGTACAGTGGACTCTTCAAAAGCTTTGGCAACAGCTGAAAATAAAGTATAGAGCTCACTATTAGCATTATTATTATTATTATTATTATTACTAGTTTACTTAAATATTATTATTATTATTATTACTAGTTTACTTAAATATTATTATTATTATTATTACTAGTTTACTTAAATATTATTATTATACTAGTTTACTTAAATATTAAGGTTTCAATATTTTATAAGTACAATATTGTTACAAAATTATTTGCTATTTATCTGGAAACTAAATTTCAGGAAAATAAATTATTTTTTTACATAACATAAAATTCTATTTCTACTACATCATAAGAAGAATCCATATATCTCTATATCGTGGGCTCTTCTGGTAATATAGAAATGTACACAATCCATAGATAGGTAGAAATAAATTTTATATATGTGGATTAGATTATATAAGAAAAATTTAATGATAAATCTCATAAAAAACAAGTGTTTGTACATATACAATTATGAATGCCAGTTTTGAATTAGAATGAATTTGCATGTTTGTTTAAAGAAGGAATAATACAAACATTTATTTTCTTTGGGCAGATTACGGTTGAATTATAAGTGACAAAACTCACAAGTAGAACCGTTTAAAATTTGAGCTCAAGAACATTTACATAATAACATAAGATTCATTTATTCATGGAATAGAAATGACTAAATCTCACCATTACTATTGTTAGTGAATTTGATTCTAACTGTGCCAGACCAAATTTGATCAGTATATATTTTACAAAATAGCTACAGAACAATAGCAAGTTTGTCTTACAGGCTATTGCTAGTGAATTTAATCCTCACTGAGTGCTCTATTATTATAGCCTCATACCAGACCAGGTTAGCAAACAAGTCAAAAATCTTACCTTCAAAGGTGATATCATCATGTGTTGGTCCAACTCCACCAGATGTAATGACATGAGTGAACTTTTTAGAAAATTCTGCAACTTCTTTTGCTATTTCATCTAAATTGTCTCCAACTGTAGTTATCTGAAATTGGAAAAGAAAATTGTATTAAAATACCTTGAAATAAATGACTGAATAAAATTTAACATTTTATCTATTGGGATGTACAGATGGTGTAATCATAGGTTGCTCAGAATGAAAAAATTTTAAATTAAATTTAAATTTAAATTCCAGTTAAGTCTGTTACATTCACTTTCACACATACCCTTGGGAAAGACATGAATCCAACTCTTCTTCCCTGCAGCTATGGGTTAAGTAGTAGAGCAGACTTGGCTCTTCAACCTTGTTTGCAAATCTAGAAAGTGAAATTGATTTCAAAACTGGTTGGGCATGAGGCTAGCAACTCCATCCCATGAAAAATCTACATGCTATGGAAACTGTAGCAGCAACACTGAACATTTTGAGACTGTGACCCCATACTCCAGAGTTGGTGTGTACAGGACTTCAGAGAGAGAGAGACAGAGAGGAAATAAATAATAATCTAATAAAATTGTTTTAAAATACAGGTCAGTGCCATTAAGCCACACACGAATAAACCACAATATCACTTAAGCCATGCATGCACGATGGACCCAAAAATTTTTTGTCATGTTCATATTAGAATCATAATCATCAGTGAATCCCAATTTGAAACAAATTCAAACTTGATTGTGACACTTTTTAAAGTCTGATTTTTTTTCTGTATAATCTTTTATTTTCCGTTACATGCATGTAAATTTATTAAAAATATTGTTTCATATTAATTTTGAAAAATTTGTATTGTATCATTACATTGCATAGAAACCTATGCTTGTATGTAGACGTTACTACATATTATTTTTATTAATACATTACAATACAATGTATTGTAATGTTTTTATTCAAAATCTTAATAAAACTATAAAAAAATTAATTTTATTTTTTCTTGTTAAAATCTCGTGCATATAAGATTTCCTCCATTTTTTACTGTCATCGATGATGGATCTATTGACATGGCACTTTATAATTAGAATCATTTTAGGCCATCGTCTTTCAAATTTATTCACATTGGTGTAGATTTTTATGTGAAATTAAAGGATAATTTTAATAAATGTTTTTCAAAACTGCCACTATTCAATTCTTTTGATCTAAACCATGGACCATCTAAACTACGGATAGAAGTTTTGAACCCCAACTACCGTGGTTTATCAGCGCTAACCTGCATTTATATTAAATTGTGAACTGCAAAAAGAGTAATAAACTGTAAGGTTTCAAAATATAAAAACATCCAGGTTCAAACAAATAGATTTGTTTTATTTTTCATATTAACTTTATTGAACATAACATTTTGCTCCATATTCTTGTGTTACCTTTCAGGCAACTTTAGAAAAATTTTATCTTTCTCAGCAAAGAACTGCTTTAGATACTGTTGCAGTTTTCCAGAATATATTTATTTTTCTTTTCATTAAGAGAATTCTATTAAAAAAATGAATAAGTGGTAATCTGAACACACAATATCTAGTGAATATAGCATACTCTAAATTTCTGTTAACTTTAACATTATAATCAACAAAAATACACAAATTTTTCCAATTTTTAAAAATGCATACTAATACAGGACAACAGCCCAAAGAATGTAAATAATGTAAATAGTTACAATTCCTCATCTCAGAAATATAAACAAATTCATACTAATATGTCACAATGCAACAAAAATCAATCCAAAACACTCCAAAGTTATGTCAGTATTTTTGATATGAAGAATTATCATTACAATCATATCTATTTGAACTAGTATTCTCATCTTGGTTGCTATACACACAAGTTTTTGGCCGTTTTACCTTCAAGCTTTCTACAGGTGTTTGTCCCAAACCAAACATTTTATTCAATCTAAGTGGGTAAAATGTTCTTATTCCACTTTCCATGCTTAGGGGGGCATAACTCATGTAAGTTAATTCTCTAGTCTATTTGTCTATGTATTGCTTGTCTGTTTCTTCTACTGAATCAGAATACATGAAGTTTCTGCTCTACTTGACCTAGGGATTGAATTCACAACTACCAGGAAACTAAGATATGCTTTAACAAACACTTTAATCCACTATGCCATGTGGATCCAGTGGTGTATTTTTGAGACTTAAACCTAATATTTGTAAGGTGGTAGAATTTTTGAAACCTCTATCTTAATCAGAGGCTTCCAAATGGTGTTTATCTCTATGCTAGGTCAGTCTACTGAGGATGTTCTGTGAGCCTAACATGTGCACTGATTATTTCAGTTGTCTTATCCTCTAGTGTTGTTATCTATTATCTTGACTTAATTCCATTGTAGATGATGACCATCTTTTCCCTCCATATATATTTCAACATCTCTTCAACCAGACTACAGTCAATCCCAAAAGTGCACAAACAGTTGTAGAGACAGCAGAGAATGCTCTACTTAAGAAAAGGACCCATCATAGACACTGGATGAAACATCAGTTACAAAGTGAACTCTGTAACCACATAGAGCATGTCCTAGACCAAATAACATGAGAAAAGTATAGAAATAGAATTCAACATGATCTAGACAAGCAGGAATTTGCCAAATACAGAAACTACTGTGGTTGGAAGATCATGGTATTTCTTCAAGTAGACTGTAAAAAGCAGTTGTCAACATTAGCAAATGCCTGTTCTGAAATTTACAATAACCAAGATATAATCAAAGGAAGAATCAGCAATATTATTGGTCCTGATCTGGTATCTCAGTTTCAGTCACTTTCCCACCACTGTAAAGTTGCCTCCCTTTGCCTTTTCTATAAATACTTTCATGGTAATTGTTCGGATGACTCTTCACTATGGTACTTAGACTTTTTGAATTTAAGCGCAGTACTAGACTGGCAATGAGGTCTCACCAATTTACAGTCGAGTTGGCTAGATGTAACTGTAAATTCTATGCTAACAGTTTCTTTTCTCATACTTCTCACTTGTGGAACTCACTTCTGGCTCCATGCTTTCCAGCCAACTTTAACTGACAAAAATTTAAATGCAATGTCAATTGCTATCTGCTGTCCTCCCGATTACTCTTCCTCTGTTCTCATCCCTTAGCAATGTTCCTGTTTCTAATTTTCTCATACCCAATAACCCCTTGCATCTTTGTGGCTTTACTGACTTGCTTGGGGTGAACTCAATTAAAAAAAAAAAAAAAGAAAAAAATAATTGAGTCCCATACTTAGATGTCATCACCCCAATTGACAAGATAGCTTTGAAAAACTCTAAATCTCAGGCTAACAAGCCGAGATGCAAAGTGAAAAAGGTGCTAGAGAAAATCAAGCCTCCCAGATTAGACATCACAAGAGAGTTCAACAGATTAAATTCATGAGTATAACAGCAAAAGTGAGCATGCTGGTTTGAAAAGAAAGAAGGAGGAGGAATAATAATTCAAATGGGATATGTGGGTAGAGTAATGGTTATCAGCAAAGAAAGTGAAATCAGCAAGCCAAGTTCAAGTTCTTACCTAGTCTGCTGCATTCAATTTCATACAAATGCACTTCGGAAAGGTATGAATCTATTTCTTCTCCCCAACCCCACAACAAAGTAAGCCTTGGGTGGAAACCAGTCTAAGAGAAGAATTATTCTGAATTAGAAATCATGGAGAAGGCAACAGGAAATCAATCCCCTATCTTTCCCAAGCAGTCATGGCAATTCAGAGATAATAAAGAAACAGAAGAAAATCTATTCATAAAGTTAGAGAATTGAATTCATAGATAAATCAACAAAGATAGCAACAATGTCAATGTGTGAATTAAACGCTTAATTCATCTTTTAATTCTGTTTTTTAACGTTGGAGATGTTTAACTCTGGAAAATAACAGTTAAAAGACATGAAGGATAGACTGATCAGCTACAATGAAGAAAATTAAAGATTTTAATTTTAAGAAATTAAGATTCTCAGAGAATGAAAACTGCAGAAAGGATAATGTTACGATAAAGCAATGTGGCAAGAGTGAGAGCAATTAATTATGAAAGGTGCTGGAGATAATCAAGATAAGCTAACTCAGCCAGGAAAATGGTTAGAGGACCCAAAGCTGAGAACAATAAAGTCTTAAGTTTATAAAACTAGAAAGTGCGTAAACTGTAATTTTACAAATAGATAATCTTGACAATTGATGAATGATGGTGATTAAAAATGCTGGTTATCAAAACACAATAGAAAGCAAACGGGTGAGAAAGAGTAATGGAGAATGATATTCTCAGATATGATGAAACTGTAAAATGCCAATTTGGCATTGATGTATGACAGGCGTTAAAAAAATGTTGATTCCGAATATGGAATAACCAAGGATCAGCCCCCAAGTGTCACATTCTCAGTGCTGTTGACCACAAGATCTTCAACCCAGGACAACCACTCAGTCAATTCAGAAAAAGAGAGCGAGAACCAGATGGACTGTTGTCATTTTTTTTTTTTTTTTTTTTAAGCATGTCACCCCTAGCAAGGCGGGAAGGGGTTATAGAGGATTTGGAGCGGGATCAGGTAGGAATGATAGAGGAAAGGATGGGGAGAAGGATAGTGGATAGATCAAGGCAACTGGAGATGTCGATTGACATTACATTTGAAAAGTTGGAGATTATAGCTATCAGGGAAACAGGAATAGGGAAGGGAGTTCCACAGGTGAGAGGTGCGAGATATGAAGCTATTGGAGTAGAAGAGGCAGCTACATTTAACAGTTTCAACAGTGAAAGGGTGAGAGTGGGATGCCAGCCTTGTAGTACACTTGAATTCACGAAGTCTGGGAACCAGCAAAAGCAGCTCATTGGAGCAATTACCATGAAAGTATTTGTAAAAAAAAAAACAGAGAGAGGCGACAACATGTCTGTGAGAGAGCGACTGCAGACGAGATGCCAGATCGGGGCCAATTATATTGCATATCCGTCTCTGGATCTTATCAAGAACCCCGAGGTAAACAGTAGGGGCTCCAGACCATATATGGCAGCAATACTCCATGCAAGGGCGAATGGTTGATTTGTAGATTTGAAGGATTGATACCGGGGGAAAAAAATTTCCTGGCGCGGTACAAGGAGCCAACTTTCTTT